TTTTTTGTTGTTGTTGTTGTTTATTTTATTATATTTTACATGGTTATGTGTGGCTGTTATCTCTCAGAAGTCTGTTTTTTTCTAATAAGAGACATAATGGGACTGGATCTGGATGGGAGGGGAGGTGGGGGGAAACTGGTAGGAGCAGAGGGAGGTGAAACTATAATCAGGATATATTTTAAAAATTGAAAATAACAATAACAAAAGATGGGGTTTATGCATATAAAGCATGTAATTTTAGATGCCAGCGTAAAAAACATAATGTCATCACTCAGATACAATTACAGTTGCATAAATTTTCAAAGTCAGGCATATTTGCCTTTAGTAGGCAATACAACTAAAACTTATTTGAGTCTCTAATTTTCCTCAAGAATACTGTTTGCAAGGTTTTAGGGTAGAGAAAATGAATTGGACTGCTCTATGCTATCTCTCTATATTTTAATGTAAATTATTTGTAGTTAAGCTAACAAAGGGCTCAAAACTACTCACAAAAAGAGCCACATCGTAATTCTCAGGTCATTAGCATACATTAGTCATATATATATATATATACATATATATATGATACATATATTATATATATTTATCTATCACCTCTCTTTCTTTTGTTTTTAGAATTTATCATTAACTTTCTCATTATGTATTCATAATATATTTTTCAGCTCACAACACTAGGAAAGATTTTGTTTATATTAGCATCCAACAGGGAAAATAGTATTACACAATCTAATATTTTGTTGAAATTAAATTTAATCACTTTGTTCATCAAAATAGCTATTTACTGCATAATGAAATTCCACAAATGCCACATAAGCTGCATTATAAAGACAAGCATAAATCGATAAAATGGCATCAAATCTGTGCAGATTAAAATAATTTTTGAGAACATTTTGGAATGTTTTAAATCCAGTAGAGCACAATCAAGTTCCTCTCACATATGTTACTTTAGCAGAAAGATGTCTAGAGGTCAACTAAGTCATCTTTTTGCCTCTGGCTATAATTCTGGAAAACACATTTTTATCATAAAAATTCAAGAAACATACTTAGAATCTTGAGAAGAAGATGGAAGAGAACTTTGGTATCTTACTCAGTAACTCACTAGAATAGTAAAGCCTCAGCATTCTAACTTTGTGCTCATCACTGAGGTCATGCTTTTTCAGGCCACTGGTGTCATTTAGAAGCTTCTAATTACTAGCATCATATCCAGCTTGAAACTAGATATGGGCGAGCAATATAAAACTTTAGATGTAAAATTAAAAATGTGGAAAGAAGACTGAATTATAAACATTGTTGTAATATAAAGCTACCAGATCATTTTTACGTAGGGATAAATTGAATATAGTAAAATGTGAAATTAATTAATCTAAACAGAAATGGCAAAGAGAGTACAAATGACTTCTGTGTATTTGGTTAGCACCCAATAGCTAGTGCTAACCATTTTTTAATATTCTGCAAAGTCATAGCCACATGGATAAATGTGCTTTGACACAGGCTATCATTTAAATTATGGTTTGTGAGAGGACTGAAGAAGTAAGGTTAGTCACTGTCACAAAAATCACTAATAGACTCTCCTATGTACATACTAAATGTATAAAGTGAGAAATACTTTTACTTGCAGTTGCATTAATTTTAATTTGTATACCATCTTACATCAATAATTCAGATATAGCAAGGCAGAGACAGAAATGAACTAATGAGCCATTCATGTTTTACGTTGTTTCTAGAACATAGGTAGCCCAAATCATATTCAAAACTTTTATTATTGAGATTATTCAGAAAATCAACCTCCTGGCAGGTAACTAAATCCTGTTTCTTATGGCTACATAATACAGATTTTCTACGTTAAGGTGTTCATATCTGTAAGAATATCGTTAATTGTGTCAAATCTCAGTGTCATCTTGTAATGCCATCCTCAAGCTAAAATTGTAGTGGGTGGGTTGGGTTTAGAGATAGCTATTTTGATCACTGCAAGAACTTGCATATGTCTTCTCTCTCAGACACATGCTCTCGCTCTCTTGCTTGTGGGTGCTCTCTCTCTCTCTCTCTCTCTCTCTCTCTCTCTCTTTCATTATATTTCTTTCTCTCACTCTCTAACTCTCTATGACATACACAGATATGTGCATGTACACCTAAAGTTAATATTCAAAAAACAAAGCTAAAAAAATAACAATTAGGTTCTATGGCTTTACTTTAATATTAGAATACCACTCTGAACCTGGTCTTCAGAAAAATCACATGGCCTTGTATTTTTCCTCATTTCTCTACAAGAACATGGGAAAATGAACATTCCTGTCTCAAAGATGCATGATATTATGGCCACATAAACCAATGCTGTGTTCCATCTATTCTTCATAAAGATGATGGTAGTCAAGGATGGAAAATAACTATATTTTTCATGAGATGAGTCATGAAAAGATGTATAATGAGCATAATGGTCACTTTCCATATTTATAAGTAGCCTGTATTTAGAGATCACATGAAACAGAATTAAGCCAATGCTAGAAAATATCTGCTATGAGTTGACTACCCAAATTAGATGGAAAAAAACTGTGTTGTGAAAGGTGTCTATGAGTATGTGTGATATGGTGGATAAAAGCATATTCTTCAATTGCTAAAAACACCATTACTCGGCTCTAAGATAAAAAGCCTCTGGGCAAATATAGTGCCAGGGGTAACAGATAGACTAGAAGAATAATTGTATTTCATAGATAAAAGCCAAAAGACTTAAAGTCAAGTTTCCTTGTTGCTGCTTGGTCACAGGCATAGCCTCACATTTCAGGAATGGGTTCCAGGCAGTTCCCTCCTCTGGGGGCCCCTTTCCTTCATTTCCTCACTTTGTTTTCAACAGATCAGTTTCCCATAGTCTGATGTGAGAAATTCTCACAAATCCAGATTTCTAATTTTCACCCATTTGTACTTTTGTTTAATTCTCCTTCCTAAAGAAATACTCCTTACTGGTATTCCTATAATTCACTAGAGACTTTAAGGTTTTCAGTGCAATGCATATTGCTTCAAAAAGGATGCATCAGAATTAAATGCAAAGAAAGCAGTGCCCATTCCTGTGGATGATGATAATCTGTGTACATACAGTCAGTATTCTTGGTGCCTGACTCAAAATAACAGTGCCCAAGAAACATAATGTGTTTTTATAGATACTGATTGAAAGTTAATGACACAGTCATCTTATTCATACCACAAAGTCCGTGACACTCCTTGATATTCCTTTCCTATGTGAGATGTCTAGAGAATTCAGACACCTTATGACACCTTCTTTTATCTTCCTAAAATGTAAAATTCCTCAAAAAGAAAAGGAACTTCCCTCTTTCTCTTTGTGATGCCTTTCTTTGTTGAATCCCAACATCACTTGGTGCTTGAGCCAATTAGCCTAAATATATACTAACACAATTCATCTCTTTCTTATTGACCTTACTTTATCTTTTAATTAAATTATAAGATAATTGATTATAAGCTAAGAGATTTTATGTATCTCTTCATGGCACCTTTCAGTATAAGGTAAAAAGCCATTGTTAATATTGCTTATTAACATGCAGTTTTACTCCTTATTTCGTACCAATAAACTCTATTGTCCTGCTCTTTTCACAATTTTACATAGGTGTGCAATATTTAAATAATTTTCCCATCCATGTTGGTATTTCAACTAGTGTTGTCATTGTTTAAGCAATGTTATCAGGTTTAGGCAAATATATTATTGAGATTTCAAGGACATGGCTTTTTTATTTTATGTAGAAGGCATAATCTCACAGAAGACCAAGGCATTTATTATCCTACTCTTATTTAACTTGAATTGTGGGTCATGAACACAAATTTGTAGGGATTTATAAAATAATCAATATGGGTTTTAAAATGGGCTTTTCTTCCATCTGTTAAAATCCTGAACTCTTATGTTGGACTTTGTAACATAAATATGATTGGCAAATGGGTCAATATTTTATTTTTAATATGTAATAAACTGTTACCTGATAATGAGCTTTGTAGCTAATACAGCCTTCTGACACATGCAATGAGGGTTGAAATATAACAGTGTATAAACAAGTGCTAACAGGAGGAAAAGAGTCATGGAGAAAGTGAGTAAGGTCAAATTATATGATACCTATGTTTGGAAATGTCATAATAAACCCAACTTTACTTAATGGATATTAATTGTTCTTTAAATTACCTTTCTCATTCTGTATAATAGTTAATTTGAAATGAATAAAAAACATCAATGTAAAACCTGAAACCCTAACACACCTAGAGGAAAAAAGGAGTCCATCACAATATATACATAATGGCCATGACTTCTTAAATGTGTCTTTTTTGTAGTGGTCTGAAGCAAAAACTGGTAACTTGTCAAAGTACTAATCCTTCATGACAGTTGAGTGTTTAACCTTAAATGTGATACCAATATTCCTCCTTCCAAGAACCAAAGAACATTTTACAATAGTGGATGGAAAGAATGTAAAGGCCTGAAAATGGAGAAGAAGACTATGAAATGCTGTCTTCTGCCTATGGGATGGCTCTCTGCTAACACTTGCACATATGCATCCACAAAACAAAGACATGAAAGTAAGGGGGAACTGATGGGGAGGAAAAAGGGTCATCAGTATTAGAGGAGGGATCGAAGAAGATAAAAGGGATAAATGTGGTTGTAACAGACTGTACACACAAATAAAACTGAAAGGAAAAAAAAAAGGTGTTTTAGAGATGGCTCATTTGGTAAGCTTCTTGTCACACAAGAAGGAGTACCTGAGTTTGGAAGCCCAGAACTCACATAAAAAGTTGGGCATAGAAGTACATTACTATAAACTTAGCACTAGGCTATAAGGTGAATCCTTGGCTACCCAGCCTAGCATAATCAAATCTGTGAGAGACCCTCTCTCCAAAAACAAAGGTGGGTCTTTAGGACCCAGATTGAGACAAAATGGCTGGTCTGTGGAATGAAATTCTGTGTGCCTAGAAACAGATTTTAGAAGCAATTTCTCCTCACAATACCTTTTTTCAAATTATCTGATAAGGATCATGGCAGCAGCAGTCAAATGGGGGACATCAAACAGAACAATCTGGAAACATTTCTTTCCAGTTCAAAATGGAGCTTTATCTGGTGTCTGTCATTGTTCTACATATTCTTCTCTTCTAGAGGACTACAACTGCAAGGTAGAGCTGGCTTTGACATCTGATGGCAGGACAATAGTGTGCTACCACCCTTCTGTGGACATCCCCTGCGAACACACCAAAATCCAGATACAGAGCTCTCAGCTCCTTCTGCTGCTGTCTGTTTGCTGCCATGCTTCCCACCATGATGACAACGAACTAAACCTCTGAAATTCCTATCCCTCAACCAGATATTTTGCATAATAATGAAGAAACATATGAACAAGTGCTGAAAACCAAATTAGAAGAAAAAAACAAACTTGAGCAAGGACCCATGTTAGAACAGCTCAGCAAGGTGTTCTTCCCCACAAAGCATCACTGGTACCCACACAGATAGTACCTTAGGCACCATAAGAAACTGGATCAGCCCAAAGACAGGTGACAGCTTTTGATTTTCTAAGCATTGAGGAAATTTTGCTTTTGTCTTATTTGCCTGCTGAGAAAATGCAAATAGTATATTCATTAAGATGTTATGTAAGAAAATAATAAAAATACCCTTTCATTAAAAATAAAAAAGATAGCCTGGCGGTGGTGGTGCACACCTTTAATCCCAGCACTCGGGAGGCAGAGGCAGGTGGATCTTTGTGAGTTTGAGGCCAGCCTGGGCTACCAAGTGAGTTCCAAAAAAGGCGCAAAGCTACACAGAGAAACCCTGTTTAGAAAAACCAAAAAACAAAAAATGGGAAAAAAAAAAGGTAGAAAGCAATCCATGAAAGATACATAAGGTTACCTCTAGTTTCCATACACATGCACACATACTAACAAGAATATATGCCCACACACAAACATACATGCACACATGTGCACATACACATCATAACAAAGAAAAGAAAATAGAAAATGTATTCATATACATACACACACATATATATACATATGTATATATATATGTATGTATGTATATATAATTCAGTCTTTTCTCCAAGAGAATAGAATACTACTTTGATCCAATTCATGACTTATAGGGGCTAAAGGTAGAGACAATTTCATGATATTGACTGATAAGGCGTAATGAAGATAAGGAACAGATGCTTAATGTTATCAAAAAAGACATTGCTAAAATAATACAACAAATTCATAGCTTGGATATTATTCACAATGTTCTGATTCTTTTTGAAATAGAAATGATAGGATCTGTGAGGTAAAAAGATACTACAATATTAAATTTTTTAAAGATATTTTAAAGGGCCAGACCATGTTCTCAAAATTCAAAATATCAAAATTGCTCTGGTTCTTGAAGGAGGAGACTTCAAGTAACCTGTCTGAGTTAAAGAAATTCTCCCTTTTCTGCCTGCTTATAGGTACCCTAAGAGAATGCATTGTAAACAATGAAATAACAGAATCATTTCATTAACTCCTCTGTTGGAAATATTATTGGCACTATGTAGTTAAAATTAAAACTGTTTATTAAAATATAACAATGTGTAATTTAGTCTCAAGGTAATATGTGTGATATAAGCTTGTAGAGGAATATTATTTTGATACAGCTAGTTTTAATAGTTGATTTACAAAGTATTTTTAAGGGTCACTTAGGATCATAATAATCTCAGATATTTAGAATTTAAGACTACTTGAACCCTATGACCCAGATAAAGTCATTGTGACTAAAGTGGATACAGTTTAAAAACTGTGGCATGCCCTGAAAAGACAATCACAGGAATGGCCTTAAGGAATTTACTGCAAAGTCAAACCTTCTTCAAATAACTTATTTGCTTTCAAGAAATAGCTTCTGGCTCAGCACTAAAAAAGGGTACTGCAGAAGGATTTAAGAGAGCAGTTTGTGAAGCCAGACTATCTGAGCTCAAATCTTATATTCTTCCTTAGATGTGTGACCACAGATGTCAAACTAAAACTACCAGTGCTACATTTTCTCTCTGAAAATAAGGACAATAATAGTACTTATCACACAATGTCATTAAGATCATGAGAAAACTCAATATGCACAATGTCTAATATAGGAGTTGGGGATTTAGCTCAGTAGTAGAGCGCTTGCTTAGCAAGCACGAGGCTCTGGGTTTATCCTCAGCTTCAGAAAATTTAAAAAAAAAATTCTAATATATAGTAAGCACTATATTCACATTTTATTTTTATCATGCTGTAGAAGTAATCTTAGAATGGCTTATTAATAAAATCAAACCTGAGGCCAGTTATTGGGGTGAATGCTGGAAGATCAGAGGAGCAGAACCAGCCACAGCTAACTCACCTCACCAGTTCCTCAGCTGATCCTGTTTCCTCAGACTGGAAGCCTCTGAGTCCTCATCCAAATGAATCTCAGCTGAACTGTTGTTCAAAAGCCTGAAAGCTTAACCAGCCAAATGCTTCTAGTTTCTGGTCCTCATGCCTTATATATCTTTCTGCTTTCTGCCATCACTCCCTGGCATTAAAGGCGTGAGTCACCATGCCTGACTGTTTCCAATGTGGTGTTGAACTCACAGAGATCCAGAGGGATTTCTGCCTCTGGAATGCTAGGATTAAAGGCGTGTGCTACCACTGCCTAACCTCTATGTTTAATATTGTGGCTGTTCTGTCTCTGACCCCAGATAAGTTTATTAGCGTGCACAATATTTTGGGGAACACAATACCACCACATCATGCCATCTAGATCTTGGTAGAAAGGGAATGACTGATGAAAGAAAATGACATTTTCATACAGTATGGACAACCTTACATACACTAGACACTGTCTGATCCATCAAGTGTGAATTCTGCTTAAAGGCACTCCCTCATCACGTGCCTTTGATGCATGTGAAATCACTCTTGGGACCTAAATAAAGCACAGGCAAGAGCTTCAGAGAAGTGGTAAACACTCATGTGCCTGTTCTTGTCCATATTCTATGACTGAGCTCCATTACAATCAATGAAAGACAAGCAAATCTTAGCCTTGTTCAGAGGCACATCCTGTAACATTCTTTCTCTACCTCCAAGTAGAACAATAAAACCTTCTTTACAAAAAGTAAGACATGTAGAAGTGGTGAACATGAAGATTTGATAAAAATTAAAAAGAGAGTATTAAGGAAGAAATCTTGAAGAACCAGAACAAAGCATAAAACTTTCTCCATCCCATGTGAATGTTCATCAAAGGATTCTATTGTGAGAGGTGTTGGAAACTGCTAGGATAGATGACCATTCTATGCATGTATATATCTTATACAGACACCCCTGTTCTTATTTAAAGGCTTAGAAATAGAGGGTATGTAAGGTATCAATAAAATAATTTTTTTCAATATGGTTGATCTGGCTATTTGTTTGGCTCTGCCAGAATCTCCACAAGGTGATGTCAATACTGAAGGCAGACTTGGCATTATGGCTCAAGAGAACCTATTCATGGTCCCTTGGCCTTTGACTCCAACTGTTCTGAACTCTTTTTTCCTAGGCTGAATGCTTATTGTCAGCATATGTAAGACTTCCCTGCCTACCACACTTCTGCCAACAGTGCTTCCGAAAATTTCATTATCTCAAATAATATTACTTCTCATGAAAAACTTAGTAGCAAAAGAGGTAAAGTAAGTGAGTTTCTATCCATGGTATTTATAGACTTTACCCTATACTCAACCATTTCTTATACAAAACAATAAAAAAGAAAAGGCGCCGGGCGGTGGTGGCGCACGCCTTTAATCCCAGCACTTGGGAGGCAGAGCCAGGCGGATCTCTGTGAGTTCGAGGCCAGCCTGGGCTACCGAGTGAGCTCCAGGAAAGGCGCAAAGCTACGCAGAGAAACCCTGTCTCGAAAAACCGAA